TTTCGGGTGCTCCGATTCCTGATTGGCGCTCACAGTTCATATCGATTCATCAGAAGTGTCTATTGGCTCAACCTGCAAGGTGTATCAGAATCTGTCACTTCTTGCTGCTTCTCCCCGGGTCGGCTCACCATCGCCTCTCACCTGCTTCGCTGCCGAAGCCTGGCGTGGTTTCTCATGGCCCTCGGAGGAGAGCCGAGCCCTGGCAGTACCCTCCCAGGCAGGGCGGAGGGGGCACTCTCCCACAACAACCTGTTGCCCTTTTTCATTCTGTTCCGGCCACACGGGCACTGCCCGCTTTCTGACCTTTAACCTTCAAGAACAGTGACTAATCCCGAGCATTCTCACCAGCGCCCGGCACTTAGTAGGTACTCGGTAAACACTGAATGAATGAGTGAATTTTCTCAATCACAGACTCTCATGTTGTTTAACTTTTCCTGTTTTTAATAATGCTGTTTGCTGGGGGGTTTTTTTGAGATATTTATTTAGAATCTCAGTCTTGGACAGCATGACTCGATCTTTGTTGAAAGTGGGAGAAGAATGCAGTGCTGCTACAATACCAGGAACACTGGCGAAAAAAGCAGAAACATCTAGGGAGCACGCCTGGAAGAAAATCGATCCCACCCTGGAGTACTGTTTCCAGCCTGGGCTCCACGCCACGCTTGTTCAGACATGAATCAGGAATGAAACCGGGTAGACACACCTGAAATTCCCCTAGCAGCCGCCCATGGCTTTATGAATGCCCCGCCTCCGTGAGGATTCATATTCCTAAGCCTGAAACTAGAAGGTCAGTGAGTCCTTTGTTGAGGGTGGCAGTAGGCTAAATCTCTCTGTGTGAACAGTTTTCACACAGAAAACTCAGTCGGTTACGTTGTCCAACACGCCGCGCCGGCTTCTCGGCACTTACCGAGGACGTCGTGCAACCGCTGCTTGAGAACATAGGCCTGGAGCGACACAGGCGCGGCGGAACCTGGACGGTAACCGCTCCGAGCCTCTGCATGGCTTGCACCTCATTCACCTAATCATTTCGACAGTTTGGTGAAA